ATGTTCCTTTTAATAACGTTTCCCTTGAAATAAGGCAAGGATCCCCTGCCTCGCTGTTCCTAAAAAGGAAATTCCAAGTCAATGAAGGGCAAAAAAAAACCCCAACAAGGACATCAAAATATGGAAGCGATTAAAATTTACAGCCATTAGATAAACAATCACTATGTGCTGCTGATTTATTTTGCCTTTCCCAAATCAATTTCCAAGTGATCATAAACATGAACTCGCATCTGGCATTAATAGCTTCGGAGCTGCGCATCAGCCATTTGGCAATAAGCCTGCAAAGTCTGTTTTCCCCCATGCATCCACAACAACGCGCTCCCCAATGAAGCTGAGCCATCTGAGAGGACAAAAATCCCACCAGGTAGGGGGATGGTTTTCAACACTGCCATACAGACAGCGTTTACAATTCAAATTTAACATCCTCTTTCCTTTTAAACCAACCATGACTGAGCTTTGGGATCACTGAACCTTTCTGCATCTACCAGAACCCTTAGGCAGGTGGATATAAAGCCCGACTTCCCAAGTCTTCTGCTTTCAGAGCAGAGGACAGGCTGAGTTGTCCTCAGCTTTATTAACTATTTATTGTTGTCATCCCTACTGAAGCAGCACATTCAGGTCCCAGCTGGGATCAGTCACTCTGTGCTCAGCTTGGCACACACACATGACAAACCAGACTGCTCTTCGGGGTGCAGGCTCTGCCACGTAACACCCACAAAGGGGGTTATCAGCTGCCAAATACAGACCCATCTCCCCGTACCTGAGCAGGGTTTTTGGCAAGAGACAGGTAGGAGACAGAGGAAGATGTGGATGTCCCTTAGGAAGGTGTTTTGGGGGAAGCACGCTATAAGGGAATACCAGGAGCTGGTTTAGAGTTCCATTTTGTTTCTCCGTACAGTGGAGCTGAAGCATAACTGCTCTTATGGAGTTATCTCTTCCCCCTGGCAACACAGCATGTGCCCAAGTACACAGCGTGGCACAGTGGAAGGTAAAGGTTTACTGACAGAAAACACAACTTCTTATGCAGAATCACGCTAGAAAATAACTGATTTCAGGACAACCACCAAACTTTAACGCCCAAGGAAATGAATTATTGAATTGTATTTTTAAAGCACAAACCGTTTTTAGTTATATGTAAGAGAATACAGTATACTGGTGGTTGCTTGGGGAAAAATAAGGTTAACTACTGAAGTTGTAAGACAAGAGACTGTCAGACACAAGTGTGTTCGGTCAATGACATGGTACTGCTCCCTACACTCAGATGCAGCTTTTTAACTACAGGGGAAGCTAAAGTTTATGTATAATATTATGATGTATGTATATGTATAATATTATGGTCACTTCCTAAAGTGCTAGATCAAGGTGGTGTTATCTGCCCAGCACATTGCTGACACAGCAAAGAGCCCATCTCCAGCCAAGTGGCATAAGCAGACAGATGGGCAGAGGGGAAAGATACTGTGCAAAAGCAAATCAAGAAGGAACAGTTTTGTCCTCACAGAATGCAAAGCTTGTGGTTTCGTTTGGTGTCTTTTTAAACTGTTAGCCTTGGAAGTAAGGAAGGGAAAGGAAAAAAGGGAAGCAGCAAAGCTTCCTGCTGGCATACAGAGCTTCCACTTTCCACAGGGATGCACTTCCCCATGCTGGCCCTGCATTTTGCCACTGTTCTGTGTGGCTTCAGTCAAGTGATGCAGGAAGCTGTACAGAGAGCAGAGCTGATGTGATCACATCATAGTTGTCTCAAGCAGTCAACATAACACTTGATAGTTATGCCCAATACAAGAGGTTTGCTGCCATATGACTTCTCGGGGAAAGACAAATTGCTCCCTGTCATCACCTATGCAGCCTTGAAGGAGTCTCACTCTGCACTTGAGAGAAAAAGCTGCTGAAAACAGGGTCATTTGATTAGCTGCCTTAATACTGTCACTGAGCTCTTCCAAAAACTCAGTCCTAGGGAAGAACAGGCAGTGAAACATCACAGCAACGTGCTTCCCTTCCTAACTATTACAACAGCAAACATTGCCTGACGCACTGGATCCTTCAATCCACATTCATAACAGGCTCATCTGGAGAAAACACCCCTTTAGGTAGCCTCTGTTGTTGTTGCATTTCTTAAGAGCAGGAAAAGATCTGACAGAAAGCAAGCCTTGATACTGAAATATTCGTATTTCTTCTTTATTTGCTGTTGGAGTAGAAGAGGATTTAAGTTTAGCATACTTCTACAAGGCCAGGACCAGACACAATTGCTATTACATGCATCGCAAAAGCCTTGCTGCTGATTTAGTACTGTTATCTGTGAGCGCACTCTAATAGAAGCTGGAGCACGTGCATGCACACAGGAGCGCCTAAAAACAGCAAAGCAAAGCAATTCCCTGTTAGTAGCAATACAAGTCAGAGTCAATCTCTTTTCACCCTAAAGCCTCATTAGAAGAGAGGTTCTTCTGGCCTTGAACTAGGAGTTTGTATTAGCTTTCAATTACCTAGTGTACATTTTAAGGACTTCCCCAATTACCTTTGCCAGCTCTCGCCCATTACAGTCCCACAATCGATATATGGGCTATATTCCTTTCCCAAACTCCAGTGGAATATAGAAAGCAATCAGCCTAGGGAAAGGGGGCATGCTTTCTCACCCTCTAATATAATGTCACCCCCTTCCCAAGCCAAGCTTTCTTTGCTCCCCGGATTTCACTTCAGCTCACTAACGATTATTATCTCCTCTAACAATAAATAGAAAGACTCTGGCTTGATTCTGCAAGGATATTTATTACCCAGGGTGCCCTTTGATCCTGTTTAGTCTAATTGAGCCTGGCACACAGCTCCAGGTTCCTAATGTATTTCCACCATAAACTATATTTGCAGACAGATGGAAGTTACATGATTGCCTCCTTTCGCTGCTATTAGTGAAGCAGTCAGCGCCTTTCTTTTACTTACAATTTAATTACAAGGCATATGGAAATGTTGAGAGCACTGGAGCCAAGGCCCTTGCATGGATTTCAGGGCTCATTCTTTCACCTCCAAGGCACCCTTCTTTCCTTTTCCAAGGCTCAACTACTAAAACAGCATCTACAGGGCAAGGAACAGAAGCTTTTCTGGTGACAGCTGATCCCCATCCCAAGCGCTTCTCTAGCACTGCCTTGCTGAAACAAGCAGCTCAGATAGACATGCCTCAACTGTCATCAGACTAGTTAGTTTGGGCAATGATCTTAGCATAGCTGGAGGTACTTAGACCTCATCAGCTAATCACCCAAGCATTTATTCTACAACAGCTCTCCGAAATGTCAGAGACCTAGTAAAAATTGAGAGGCTTTAACTCCTGCCTGGTTTTAAATATCAAGATGCCATTAGCTGTGCTCATTGCCCTCCAGGAAGTAAATGGGAGGAACGATGGCTATTCCTGGGCTCTTTGCATCTGTCTCTCATCTTCCTCCTCTTCAGATGCCCATGGGGAGAAAGACTCTGCTTTCCAAGGGCTCCACTCTAAAGCAGAAAGGCACAGGCTTCGAAGTACACAGGACCAGGAAAAGCTGGATGACTGATGCCTTTAGCCATTATATTTCTTAATGTGCCAAAGCACATTATCTATGGCCAAGATGCAAATACCTTCTGGATGTTTTAGGTGCTCCTAGTGCACTGAAAAGGCCTTTCCTGGTAGTGACAGCATCTTCTAGTGATCTTCCAGAAAGGGCTCAGGAAAGAATGACATGGTCCCAGTCTGAGGGCTCAGGGTACAGCTGTGACAGACAGCAGCAGCCCTTGCCAAAGGGAGTCCATTAGGGTAAGCTGTACTGCAGCTCAGCCTTCCCTGCTGTCTCATTATCTGAGGTTTCCTTGGTTTATTGTACTGTTTTCAAATTGAACCCACAATAAAACAAACCTGAGAGTGGAAGCAAACAAAAGAGAATGGAAGAGGGGGAAGGGGAGGATGGAAGCTTGACATTCATTTCCCCCCCCAATAATGACACCTGACATTTTCTGTTGTTGAGAACGTGACAGTTGTATTCAGGAGGATAATTGAACCTCTGTCAATTAGAGAAAGAGCAGATGAAACCTACAGTAAGATCCCTGTAACAATATATAAAAAAAGATAAGAGGAACAGACAATGAAAGCCAATGTATTGTTGAGTGGTCTTGAGCACCCTGGGCCTGACCTGTCCTGAGACTGAATTGTATCCTACTGTGTAAAAGGATAGCCATGAGCTTTTTGAATAACAATGGGAACACAGTCATCAGTTGCCTCTGACTTGGAATCATCTCCATTGTCCCAGAGACCTTATGTACCTCACACAGGGCCCTATAGCTGTCACCTGCCACCATGTCCCCTTAGCCCTTCTCTCAAATCAGCAAGTCAGTGCTCTGTGTCCATCCTGCTGCACTGGAAAATTCCACCTTATAATCAATTCAAAAGCAAAACTGCTATGTGCTAAATACAGACGGGGCACTTGTATTGCCCCCAGCATCATCATCGCTGTGCTGGATTCCAGCCCCCAGCCTGCTGGATTCTCAATAGCTGTGAGTCACCATTAACATCCCTCTGCTTCTGGGGTTTTATTTTCTCTCCTTATTTTAACCTCTCCTTGCACACTTTCTCCTTCGCTTTCCTTCCCCTTGCCCAATGGCAGCCTACATTTCTTTTCCCGTTCCAAATTTCCATTCTCTGTTCAAGTCAATTTAAACAAAATTGCTTTATTGGTGCCACTGAAAGACAAGGATTGCAAAAGCCATTACAAACGTGTAGAATACACATTATGTGAAAAATATTTAAGGAAGGAATACTCCGGCAAATGGAATCAATATACTCCACAAAAAGCATTACCGGGAATGGAGAAAGGAAAACGAGGAGCGAAGTCAAACTCTTGTTAAGTGCACCACAAGCCTACTCAAAATTCAGAGCTGATAACACGTTAGCACATAATCAGCAGCATTCCAGCTCCCACTGCTGCGCTCACCCTGGCTCCCATGCCCTGACTCTAGCAGCAGCCTTTCTCAAATCAATGATCACTTACTATTTCAAGGATTCTGGGCTGAGAACGAGAGCAGTTTCCTTCGGATCTCTTTTCCCTGCACTGCTGCCAATAAAACCATAGATCTCCGTCTCTGTCACTTCTGAATCACATTTCAGATGTAGCAGGCAGGCGCTGGGGATGCGGAGAAGTCATTTGCATAGTAATTTTAGACCCAAAAAGAGAATAAGCCTATGGCCATTTTTAGAAGGAAGCCTTGTACCAGATCTGCCTCCAAACGTGTTGCCTTGTTTGCCTTGGTCTTCTCTATAAATCATTATTACATGCCTAGGCACATTGCTGGCAAGGAAGGCTCACACCCAGAGGAGCAAGCAGACCCATGCTTACAGCCTGAGAACTGTGCAATTCCACCCTTCCTGGAGCAGTCATGCATATTTTCCCTCAAGCCCGTTTTAGCAAACCCCTTCTTTTTACCTTATCACACAGCCAGCTACAAACCTCTGCCTGGTGCACTTCAGAGACGTTGAAGCAAACCGCATGCTGCGTGCGACATGGGGCCACTCAAGCAACAGCAAAGCTTAGAACCTAGTCTCCAGCAACCAAGGGTGAGGTTTCAAAAGCTAAAAGCATCTGAACTGTAAATGGACGTTTTCAGAAGCTACAAGAAATCTGGAGGCCAGATTAACACTTGGCACAGCAGCTTCTCTGGAATGGACCTAAAAGGGACCATTACTCATCACTGGAGATTTCCACTTCTTCCTAATCTTTTCCCCCAACCCACTTTTCCCATTTCCCCACACCTGAGCACTCCAAGCAGCAATGCACACTGCAGTGCCAATGGCCCCTTCTTTTCCCATTACCCCACCATGCTGGAGAGCCTTGCTTTGAGATGCAAGACACTTCATTGACTTCTCTTCTCCTTTGCTACTCTTGTTGGATCATCAGCTCATTTTTCTGACAACTCCTGGATGCCTCAAGAACCCCAACGCAGACAAAATTCTCTTGCCTCTAAGAAATTAAGCCTTACCTGAAGAAACAATCACTGTGTGTTCCACTTAACACAGAGATTAAGAGGCCCCTGCTAATAGTCCACTTCCTAGAAGAGAGTGTGTCAGTGCTACCTCCCCACCACTACACTGCCTTGCTCACCTTCACAGCACTTGTGGGGCTGCAAGGAAATTGCACAGCTTTTAAAGACAGCTTCAATTTCAGATCATGCAAAACACAAGAACATGTTTTCTCTTCCTCTCCTCCTTCCCCCTGCATACCCTCTCTCAATGGTTTTGGGGACAAGTGATAATCCAAGTGAGGAGATGATGCTTGTAAATGGGAAGTTATTCTCTCCGCACTTTCCTTCAGAAGTGTTTTCTCACTCCATTTGCAACAAACAAGAGTGGATTTTAAGGATGATGTGCCCACTGCCTTCAGACATCAGTGAGTAGATAGATGAATCCTCTCATCTCCAAGCTGTGGATTTGATCCTGCCCATTTAACACATCTGTCTAGGTATGATGCGCTCAACTCACCACCACAGTCATTGGCCAGTTAAACTCTGAATGGCCAGTGGTCCAGAAACAGGTTCCCATGAAAAGCCATCAACTGTTTTTGACTTAAAGCACACACAGCCCCCTCTTACATGCCACCTCTCATGGGAATTCTTCAGAGTGATGAGAGAAGGAAAATTCTTGCCTACTCTTGTGGAGGTTGCCAATGAAAAAGGAAATCTTTCTATAGGAAAAGTCTCTCTTAGTATTCTTTGGGATACAGTAGTGCAACAGTGAGTAGACCATCTAAGTAACCATCTAGATGCATTCAGTTCTAGCCCTGATGAACATCTTGCATTCTTTAGTTATTACTTGATAACTGTTTCCTGTTTTTTTTTCCATCTGCTAACTGAAAAGACACTTTCTCCCCTCTGTCCCCATTCACAGCTCTCTACATGTGCAATGTAATAAAGGGCAAGAAAGATAAAGCTGCAACAACCATCCACTCATCCAGCAACCTGCTCACAAGAACAGCTCAAGCTCTGAACCAGAACCTTGAGCCCCAGCAAAGTTACAGCCTCTTGTTCACAAAGTCACCTGTCTGTAAAGGATCCCAACCAGAAATGATGCAGAAGCATCACAAGAGTGGGAAGAACACCAAAGACTGTCACATTTAGAGACTATTTGCCAAAACTCCATCTCTGGCATACCCTTGCCATTTGTTTTCAGCCAAACCTCCAAGTTCTATTATAAATTACCACTTTACAATTGCAATGACTTCAGGACTCAATTTTCTCCCTTGGGGAAACAAGCACTACAAACTATAATGCATTTTTCATGTTAAAGTGGACTAATCATTATTAATAGGGGTAGTTACCTCCTCCTCTGCTTATGTGCCCTTAACAGCAGATAAAATGCTTATAAAATAGTTTCCCATTTATTATCTATTGATTGCTTTCTTCCAAAACATACTATATCAGGGCTATCACTACGTGGGACTCATTACCTAGAAGGTTTTGGTCATTGACAAATCTGGAAGACCTTGCACTGCCTTCAACAATGGTTTGTAATGTAGCTTTTGTCTCCACTTTTCTGTATTTGCTTCTTACTGCTCTCCCCCCCTGCAAGCTTCCAAATAAAAACTAATTTCATAGCGTACTGCAAACAAAGCATGCCCTAGAAAGGCCTCAATTGAAGTTATGGATGATGCTCTTAAACAGCATCTTCACGGCTGCTTTTACCAGACTAATTTCTCAGCATCTGGCTGGGAGCAGAACACCGCTCTAAAAGGGAGAGAGATCACAGACCAACTGCCCCAGCACTAGGGCTCTCCATTAGTCTAAGCTTTCCCAATTATAACTGTCTACTCCTCCCCCCAAAATCCTCATATCTTACTCTCAGAGACAGCAGACACCCACACCGATTAGGTGAGGGCAGAGAGATGCTCATTGAGATGCAGACAGATCCATTAAGAAGAAGAACACTGACCCCTGAGAAACAGGAGATCTGGACAAATTCTTGTGTTCATCCTTCCTCTGCTTCTCACTGTCACTGACTCAAACCCAGCTCAAGGAGGTAAGGGCAGTATCTCCACAAGAAGGTCTGTCTGAAGGACAGGGATACCTTGCCCTTGTGTTGGGCAGTCATGTATGCAGATAGGTCACCTGAGGGCTGCCAGCAAAGGAGCACATTGGGACCATGGGCCCCGAGCTGCATCAATGGCTGAATGCAGCAATGATGCCCATATGTATGTGACAAACCTCAGCATGCTTTGTGTGTGTCATCCAAGACAGAGGCAAGGATGACTATGCAGGCAGGTTAACAGAGAGCAGGAGAACAAGGTGAGAGGCACCCTTCTTTCTTTACAGGTTGGAGTCCCATAGAGACCACATACTTGCAAAGAGAGCAGGGTACACCAGAACATGTTGCCCTGCTGAAGAACAAAAAGCCAGCAAGGTGCCCATTACTAACTTCCAGAAACAGAAAACAACCAATAGTACATCAGTGCTTTTCCTTTCCATTTGTCAGGTTCCTGCGGTCTGAAATATACCCTCAACCCCATTCTCTCATGCAAATGTTTACTAGGGCCTATTCCATTATATTCTGGTTTGTGGCCCCAGAAGAGCCCTTCGTTCTTTATACTAAGAATACCTTATAGAGTACATTATACCTTTCATTCTATATACTAAGCTGACACTAGGTCTCTCCTTCCTCCCACCAGCCTACAAGGCTGATAGCTCCTAGACTACCTTGGCAGCAGGAGGTACCCACAATTTTCCAAGCACTGTCTGTCAAAAGCACTTAAATGAAAGGCCAAAGCAGCGAGTTCCCTCAGCTCCAGTGGAGAAACAGCTGCCTATTATACCATTCATGCCATGAGCTGAGATTTATTTACTGTCTGGCTAGAGACAAGCAAATGGCTGGTACCAAAAGACGCACTGTGGTGCTCCAGCACAGAGCCCAGTAATTCAGCAGTGATGCTCATGCCTTGTTCCAGCAGGGAGAGACGAGACAAAGGTAACAGCTCCAAGGAACATGCTGAAAGCTAACCCGAACTCATAACAATAAATGAGCTAGAAGGTGTTTTTCCCCTGTTCACCTACAGCATGAACTTTCTAGCAGACCCCTCCACTATTAAAAGCAGATCGAGGTAATTTGAGTCCCAGGAGAGAGGACAGGCGACAGTTCTGTGACACAGGATTTCTGTATCCCAAGTCAAACCCCACATTAACTTCTGCAGAGCTACTGGAGTCTAAGAACTATGCTAGAAGACAAGTCTAAGACGATAGTCTTGAAATCTGCAGGAAAACCCTTCCGAAATGAAGGCGTACCATAGTGTTTTCTGTCACCTGGGGGTGTGTGAAACGCAGCCTTTACAGAGATTAAAGTACTATATAATAACTAAAACAGGAATAAATTCTAGGCCTGATGCAGGTGAGAAATCACTGAGAATATTTCCACTAAAGCAGCCAATCCGGTCTCCAGCTCCTCACTGGAAATGTGCTTTAAGACAAATCTCTTGCTCTAAGACAAAGCTCCAGTCTTAGAAAACAAGAAGAAGATATGCCCTCTGATGAATAACTACTACTCACTTGTACTTTCAGTTGGTTTCTAACATCTAGTACCCCACTAATTGAAGACGATTTTGAACCCTAAACGTTATCATTTAGCATTGCATTTATCACCTCTTTTCCTCCCTGGCCCCTGAAATCTCCAGACTGTTTAATCAGCAGACCTATAGGAAGAACCAGTTACTTAAAGGTACTTGAGCAAGCAATTCCTTCATGTCTTTGTTGAGATCAGAGGACCAGAGCACCTTTGCGAATCTGGCCTCAAACTTTACGCTTCAGAGACAGAAAACAGAAGTTATCTACCAAGGAAATTGCTGTAATACCCAAGAACCCCAAGCAAACTAGGTCCTTGCTATCCAGACAAACAACCTAAGACTAAGCAACAGGATGAAGCACTTAGAGTAAGGAACCAGCATTTATCCTTTTCACTGAAGCTCACTGAAATGAGCAGCATTATGGTGAAGGTTTTGGAGGGGCAGAGCATGAAAAGGATTGGATGGTTATTTCCCAGTTTTCTTTCACCCTAAGCTTTGAAAGAAGTTTCTTGGTGGAAACACGTAATAAAGGACTTAGTGAAAGAAAAGCAGTGAATGAAAGCATTGTACATCCATGCTGTCTAGTCTGGATGCTTGGTCTCTCAAGATGCCTTTTGTTTTCTGCAGGTTCCAGCTCAGAGCAAATCCTACCACAAGAGGCATGGTAAGAGGCAATCTGGCCCTAAACAACATGAAAACACAAGTGTTGCCCTAGCCATGCAACTGCTCCCAAGTCCCATGTGTGTGCTCAGCCACCCCATTGAGTCAGAGACCAGCTCAAGATAAAAACAAAAT